GAAAGAATACAAAAGATATTAATATCAGTATCATACAATTATAATCAAGAATACTCAAAAAGAACAGAATAGAGACAAGCAGTAGTGGCCTTTGCAGATGATACAATCTAGATTGCAAGCAGCCAAGCACAAATGCAATAAACAATTAAGATTACAAAAAAATTTTTTAAAATAAATGATATACAATTAATGAGAAAAAATCTAAACTAATTATCTTGAACTCAGGAGAAACAAAAGAAAATAGAATAATAAAGTTAGAAAATAAAAAAGTTCAAGAGGAAAGTGCAAATAAGATAACAAGATTTTTAGATGTTTGGTTGAACTGCAAATTAAAAGACTCTGTGATTAGATCAAGAGCACAAAAAACAGTATGAGCAACAGTCAGAAGTCTAAACACCAAGAAAATGATGATAGCATAGTTGTCATATATAAACAATATATGCATTATATCAAAATTACTATATATATTACAAATATTGAAGCTAACAAATGTGTTAGTAGATAAAATACAAAGCCCTTTAATAAAAATAACAAAAAATAAATTAGAAATAACAAGCACAACAGAGAATAGTATAATGCTACATAGAAATCTAGGAAATTGCAATTTACTATGAAATCAACTTATAGTTAAACAAATTATAAGTCTTTATATATGACTAAATTCAAGCAATATAGAAGAATTACTTACAAAAATATATATAAATCAAGGCTTTCTGTTAATAGGAGCAACAGAAAATATATGATATGAAAATTCTTTTAAACTTTGCAATAAAATTTGAAAAAACAATCTAGCATGTTACATAATATTAAAAGCTAAAGAAATGCAAGTCATATTAAGTTTTTGCAACCCAAATCTATATCTAAATAAAAAAGGAAACAAAATCACAGAGTTGTTAGAAAATAACTTTACAAAAAAGGTAATATTAGCATTAGAGAAGCTGAAGTTAATATATATAGAACAGCTAATTAACAAGTCTGGAAATTAAATATTATCAAGATGATAACTCAAACTTTTACAAGAACTGTTATACAAAGATAAACAAGCAGAATAATTTAGTAAAATAGAAGAAAAAATAATAGAAAATAAGCAAAATAGAAGAGTAAAAAGAAAGTGACAAACTCAAAAACCAAATGAGCATGCACTTGAAATTCAGCTAGAGCCATGTTCAGAAAATAAAAGAAAGAAAAAATGGGTGTTTGTAAAACTAAAGAAAAAAAAAAAAAAAAAAAAGAGAACTTAGAGTCATTTGTTAAAAGAATTATTACTAGTATATAGAAAAAACCCTAACAGAATATTGAAAACTAGACACTGAACCAGAAAGTTTAAATTTGTTTTTGAACAAATGTAAAAATTGCAGTCTAAACCAAAAGATAGAAGAAGGAAGCTGTATAAGATAAGAAAATAAAAATGAAATTCAAGATTCAATATCAAAATTTGTAAGGAAACAAAAAGATCCAATTTCAAATTTAAACTATAAAATGTTTGCTTAATCAGGTGACAAAGGAAAAGCAACACTAACAGAAAGTAAATAAAAAGCAGAATATATATAATGCATAGATCTAGAAACAGAAATTATACAGAAACAGTCAATAAGTCAGGCAATAAAGATAGAATTTATTTGAAAAAAAGACTTGAACTAAGAAAATCTAGAAGATACTTTGGTATTCTATACAGATAGATCATTAAAAAAAGATTCAAAGAAAAGAATCTCAAGCCCAGATTATATAGGAGCAGACCAGATACAAGTGGATACAAAAGAAGAAAAAATACTTGATGAAGGTTATTTTGGAGTATAAAATTGGCTATCTTCAACAAAACCTGAGCTATTAGCAATTTGGTACATGTTGCTTACTGTACCAAGCAGAAAAAAGATTAAAATATTTACAGATAGTACAACAGCTATTACAAATATAAAAGACAAAAATAGCTTTTTATTTGCTAAACAATGTTTAAAAAGAAAAAACTTTAATATATTAGAAAATATTAGAAATAGTGTAAAACTAAAAGAACTTAAATTAGAATTAGTTAAAGTTAAAGGACATAGTAATAGTAAATAGAATATTAGAACAGATAGATTAGTAAAGGAGAAACCTAAATTAGACAATATAGACAGAATAGTTAAAGAAACATCACAAGAAACTAGTATTAATCTTTGTTGAAAAAAAGAAGTAATAGATGATCCTACAAGACAATTCCTAAAAAAAATTTTAAATCTTAAAATAAGTGTAGAATAGAGTTTTATAACAGCAATCAAGAAAACAGAACCAGATAAGAACAATAAAATATATAATTGGTCATATCTGTAGAAAAGAATAAGAGACCAAAAGGAAAGCAAATGTGTAAGTATTAAAAAAAAATAAGAAAATAGAGACTTTGATAAAGTGCATTAATAAAAAGTTGGTTTGACCAAAACACTAACACAGCATTATCCTGATCTCTATAAGAATACATATTACATACTTTGTTAAGAAGATGAAGAAGAAGATCAAGACCATCTAACAACATATAAACAATATGAAAATATATGAAAAAAACATAAAAGAAACATCAGTCAGCTTGGCATGATCGAAGTTATCAAATGAAATCAAAGCAGAAACATGTAAAGATCAACTTAAAAAGATATTCTAAGGCATGCAAATGAATAAAAAATTAAGAACAAGACAAGAAATAATCAAAGGCCTACTATAAGAAAATTCGATAAAACATTTGCAAGGCATTTTACAATCCTTTAAAGAAATAAAAGAATTTATTATAACAGCAATTAATACATTATAGAATTGCTTTTATGAAGATATATGGAAAAGTGATATAAAGTTTTTACTCGATGAGAAAAAGAAATAGGAATTGGGAAAAAAGTTAAGTAGAAGAAAAAAACTATAGGAAAAAAGCCAACTAAGAAGGTTAATGAGTTTATTAAAGTAAAAAGAAGCCAAACGATAGAAGAAAGAAAAAAAAAAAGTAAAAAACAAAGAAATACAGGAAATATAGTTTGACTCAATTACAAAATTTATAGATAGTAGAAAAAGGCCATTTACATATAGCCCTTTTGGCTAGTTTGATATAGCCTCTGAATCTAGGTACAATCCTAACCAGTATGGCAGACCACCTCTGAGTACTCAAAGAAGTAGCCAGAAGATGTCAGACCAAAATCTTAAGTTAAAAATGTATATAATTTATATACAAGAATCTTAATAAAGGTTTATGGCAAGGCTGTCAAAGAAAAAAAAAATGTATATATTTTAGATAATGTAATATATATATTAATATTTTTATTAGATTTGTATATTAATTTCAAACATCTAATTGATCAAATTTGAATATTTAACTAATTAAATTCAGATATAGTAGTAATTAAATTCAAATATAAAACTAGGTTCTATAACTTAGTTACTAAACTTTTATTCTTTATAAATAAAATTAATAGTTCAAGTTTAAGTAATAGTTCAGATTTAACTAAAGGTAAAATACTCTATAATCAAAAATAAAACCTATAATTAAATACAAAACTCTATAAAAGTTTAAGTAAAAATACATATTTAATTTAAGAAATTTTTAAAAAGAAAACAATATTGCAAAACATAAGCATTATTATAATAAGAAGTATGAAAAATATTATCAATATTTGTGAAAAGAATTGACCTAATCTAATATAAAATGATCTCTGATAATTTAAGTCCAAATAGGTGTAATTGTGAAATCTACTTTTATTCAGTAAAATTTATGTCAAAGATAAAGTAATTCTAAAATGATTATCAAAAAAATTAAATTGATACTACAAAAAAAACATTAAAAATAAAAGACTTTAAATAGGAAACTCACAAGCAGGTTTCAGGTATGACAATTAGTGGGTAACCTGCAGGCAAAACCTTTAAACAGACAATGACTAAAATTGTACAAGTGGCTAACGTAGCCTCATTGATATGCAAAATATAATACTCCTTACATATTTGTAGGTTGTAAGTCTTAAAACCTGAAAAAAAAAAAATCAAATTCGAACATAGTAGCAATTAAATTTGAACATAGCGATAATCAAATTCGTATATCTTAGCAATCAAATACCTAGTGATCAAAAGGACCAGACGAGGTGGATCCGTTCACGAATTTGATTGGTCAAATGTTCGAAATTGGTATACAAAACTATACAACGTTTTGAGCCTTGTGAGCAATGTTGTGTAGTTGTGTATGAAACGGAAGGCAAAACAGTTTGGGACAATAAAAAAAATGCCAATGCTCAAAATATATATTATGCTTAAAAAATTGAATTATTTTACATATTTTTATTTTTTTGAAATAGCTCTATAAATTAGAACATTGGACAAATTAAAAAAAGCTCGTAACAGTCAAAATGTAATGGAAAGTGTCTCGTGACTAGTAATGTAACGCAATTTTTATTTTTACATTTAACGTTATCTTTGTGGTTAAAAAGACTTTTTATAAATTTTGATTGGATGTGTTCATGTGATAAACTGGGTACTAATCTCTGATATCAAAGGAAAAGGTTTCATTTACTCAAATACCATAAATAGCATAAATAGGCTTTTTTATTCTATATATAGTTACATTATCATAAAACTCAGTTTAAATTCTTCAAAACCACAAAGCTTAAAATGAACGTTTTAATGATAACCATAAACGATGAATTTTTTTTCCAAAGCTCGGTCGAGAATTTATAATTATAATGGGAATTCAATTTTGTTTAATTGTCACTATTGATCTATCGTGTCACATTGAAAGCACAATTAACTAAATAAAGTTTTTATAATTAATAAAACGACTGGTTATCTAATTTTTGAGTTACAAGACTGATTGGTCAGCTATCATTTGTGTAATGATATTTAGGTTATGCATACCTTCTTTTCATTATACTGTATGTTCTTATAACTGTAGCGTTTGAATCTACAAGCAATTTCTACTATAATCTTCGTTTCTATATATGCATCCCGACTGTTAATAATACCATATACATCGTTAAGTAAATAAAGTTTTTCTAATATTAAATATGACTTCAATGACAAGTGGTTTATCACGGCGACGCAACGCAGGTTCAGGGCTTAACTCGACAAATTCATCGTATGAGAGCACATCAACAATAGATCGCACAGTTTCCATTGAAAATGGTGTAAGAATTGCAGTGGATCCTAATGACGTGCCTGATGAAGAAGATAAAAACCAACCAAATTTAACACTCATGGAGGAGGTTCTACTGTTGGGCTTAAAGGACAAACAGGTAATTCTTATCAAATCTTTCTGATCCTATCGGATTACTGTTTATCTTTTTCTTAATCCATGGGTTTTACGCAATGTGTATCTCTGTTGATAGTAATAATTTCAATGTGTGACTTTGACATTCAATAAAGAATGCTTACATTTAATTTTGTCGCAAAAAAAAAATAATAAATTGTATTGCACTTCACATTTGGATTTAGACAACTTGTCCCGATGTTCGGTTAATGAATTAATATAAGTTTCCTTGTAAAGGGTGACGTTCAAAGGATAACAAGCACTTATTTAATGGAAATTCATTCCTTCATTAATTATTGAATTTTTTATACTTGAACCTGTTCAATCAGGGATACCTCTCGTTTTGGAACGATAACATTTCGTACACTCTTAGGGGTTGTATTCTTATGGAGCTTGCTTTTCGCGGACGGATAGCCATGGTCAAGGATTACAATCGTCGTAAAGTTCCTCTTTCAGAAAGATCTATCGAAGTGATCGATGATAAACAGACTAATGAAGTTCTTCTAGATGAGGCATTAAAAATGATGAAGCAAAGTGAAACAATGAGTGTAGGAAGTTGGATCGATTTAATGAGCGGTGAGTCTCTCTCTGTATGTTAATATAACCTATTTCTTTAATTCGAAATTATAGTAAATTTTATTCATTTTTTATCTTTGACATTTTGAGAATTTTGAAAAGAATTATATTCATTTCGCTTAATTGTGATTAAATGTATCATATTATTTATCTTAATTAGGTGAAACTTGGAATGTATTAAAGATTGGATACCAACTAAAACAAGTTCGAGAACGTCTAGCGAAAGGTTTGGTAGACAAAGGCATTCTAAGAACTGAAAAGCGAAATTTTTTGCTTTTCGATATGGCAACACATCCCGTTAGTGACTCTTCTGCCAAAGATGAAATAGTGAAACGAGTCATTAAAACTTTGACTCATGTCAATTCTTCTGCAACATCATTAGACCCTGATATACCTTTCGGTCAATTACGCACAGTCGCAATGGTATGTGCTGCATATGCTGCAAACGTTTTGGAGAATGCATTGGTGCAATTGTCTCATGAGATGAGAGAAAGAGCATATACAAAGGTTGATGAATTATTAAGTGAATATTCATCTTGGCCTTTTTCAAAAAAGGTGAAGGTAGATATTCCAGAAGGAAAAGATTTACAAATAGAAGTGGTAGCAGCGGTTTTGAATGTTTTCACAAAGATGGATAGTATCTTGTAAAATATTTAATATCAAGGCCATTTGTATTTTTTTCCCGTTTACGTGTGTTTTTTTTATAGACAATAGCTAATTTGTTTTTTTTTATTCGTTGCGATGTATCGACGTACATATATGAGGTTTAATATATGTAGTGACCAATTGTGGGTTTCATTGTTTTAAAGTTATAATGTTAATACTTAGAATGGATTCTAAAAATATTTTTATTAATTATTTATATATAGCAAATAGTATGTGATTTAAATAATTTAAAATGTTGAATATGGTTAACCTAAAACATAAGACCATTACGATTTTGCATATAAAGAACAAAAATAAACCGACACTCGTTTTTTGTTTCATATTTCACTAATAACCTTATCAAGTATGCCCTCATTTTTTTTGCTGACAAACTACTAATTAGTCCGGAGAGTAGCATAGGATATAAACCCTGGCCTCTAGCCTGCATTACGAATTTTGGTCGGAGTTTTAACTTTGATTTTTCTATTCTATTGTAAAACTTGCGGGTGACAAAATTGGTGCGACAGCTAGGTTCAATGCAAAGGACTATATATACGTAGATCAAATTACATTTTTGATGTCTTTGTAATTTTTTTTCTGAAAGTCTGTATGAATTTTTTACAAATCGTGTGTATAACTGATTTTTTGATGTTCATCGCTGTTCCTAATCAGGTTGGATTAATTCGGATTGATCCGAATTTGATTCGGCTTGATGTGTGTATGTGTTCATGTTTATGTATATCATGCTAGTGTTGGTTTGAGTGCATCAGTACGGGACAACATAAGATTCCACCACGCCAAATTTGGTAAAACATCCAAGATTATTTAATATAGAAAGCCAAATTCAAATCTTAGAACTAAATTGCTTACAAGACAAAAAAATTATAATCCCATGAATAAATTTTTTGATATACGTATTGTAAAATTGGCATGAGATGAAAATAAATCAAGAATTCTATAGCATTTTTAAAATTTTTTTTATCACTTTTATTCATATTAAAAATAACAATATAATTAAACTTTTTTAAATGTATATTTAAATATATTTTTAGCTTAGTCTTAAGCTTGAAACTTAGTATTAAATATATATAATCAGATTTATTATAGTTACAACCTTGTTATAGTTATATTATTTTTTAGCCTTAGCTGTTATAAAATATAAATTTCAACTTTCATATAGTTTCAACTTTTTATAATTACCAAATTTTTGCTTTTTAATCTGGTAATTATTTCAAAATCTGATTATATCTATTTTTTGCTTTTTTTATATATAAGACGTGTTAATAAAAACCAAAAAAATTGTTTTTAGTAATTTTTTTTAAAACTTTAAAATATTTAACAATAATTATATAAAATTTTAAAAAAATTTATTAAATTTTAGTTTAATTATTATTATTTTAATTTAATTTATAATAAAATTAATAAAATTTATTAATAGATTTTGAAGAAATGCTTGTTGTTATTTATAAAAAAAATAAAAATAAATTTTTTTTGCTTTATATATAATTATATAGTATTAAATTAAATTTGAGTTTTATCTTTTAAACTATATTTTAAGCAAATTTGTTTTGGAAAATAAAATTAGATTTAGTATTTTATAAATAAAATAATAATTTATTTTTTTTATTTATTTTTTTTTTCCCTTAAGCAGTCACAGTAGTACTTTATTAAACTATTTGTAACTACATATGTAAATACAGAATATTATTTACTTATAAGTTTACTATTATCTGATTATTCAAATAGTATCTAAATGCAACCTGTTGCACTAATCCAATTAGAACTAGAACTTATGACTTGTCTAACTTCTATCTTATAATAGGATACTATCAATTTAAAGACATCTTCTTATAAGAAAGAAAAAACAAAAAAAAAAAAGATATTAAAATTAAAGAAAAAAGAAACAAAAATAGAAAGAAAAATAAAACTAACAAAAAGAAAATAAAACTAATCTATAAGGATAATAAAAAAGAAAACCTAGTAACAGAATAAAACTTATTCTATAATTGCTGCTTATTATAATATTTTCATTATTTTATAGACTATAATTATTTTTTAGAAACTAGGTACTCTTAACCAAAATGAAAACTGTATTCATTTGTAATATGGAGTTTAAATCAAACACTTTCTATATAAGAGAATTCTTCAAGTATATGAAGTACTGTATCAAGGTTTGAAATGCACTTAAGCAGTTCAATTCTTTATAAATCCTTATAATTATTTTTTTTAAAAAAAAATATTATATATATGGTTTCAAAATATATATATATCTCAATATAATTTAGGTCTTTCTAGTTTAAATTCTTTTTTGATCTGCTTTATATAATTAGTCAACATATATATTTATTGTGTTTCTTATTCATCATGTTCAAACAAGCATGTAACTACAAAAGAAAATAATACACAATATTGATATTTTGATAGGGGTAAACCAAATTTCTATTTTTTAAAAAAATAAAAATAAAAAAAAAACAAAGAGAATGTATATCATTGTTGTAAAGGTCCAAGTTAAGAAGAGTTTTTCTAGTTGTTTTTCTTTTTCTTTTGTTTCTAATATTCTTAATCAGAGAACTGATTTTGTTTCTATTTGCTTTCAGAATATTTTTTCAGTTTGGATGCTAAATATGTAAGAGAGTTTACCAAACAAAAAACTTAACCCAAGGCAAGAACCACTCAAGTTTTATCTATTCTTTAATGTTTTATATACTTAAGCTTTATAAACAACAAGTTTATTTAATATAAAACTAACAACTCTCCTTTGTAAATCTTTCGACCAAAAATTGTTAAGAAGCAAAATACAGAAAAACTGCAAAACCTGCTAGGAAACATCACTTAGGCCCTTAACAAAAAAAGAAGAGCAGCAAAAGTTACATTTAGCTAAAGAACAAAGACACAAATAGAAAAGTCTAAAAGTAGTACAGTTTGAAAAAATTAAAAAAATTTCTAATGAAAACAAATTTTTTGTAAAAATTTTGGGAAATCCCTGTGACCCTGTTGTGAAGATCAATTAGGTTACACAAGAAACAGAAAAAATAAATAAAGTAAACAAACAAACATGTGTAGTAAAGTAGTCTACTAGAATAGGCATGTGACATAATAACAACTAAACTAAAACAACCAATGGCTGGAATACATAACAGAAATATTATAGAGCATATTAAAGGTATAGGAGACAGAAACTGCAAATATGTAGATTGCAAAATATTAGATCAAGTACTTAAAACACCAACAAAAGGCCCAAGCAATATAGAGCATATTGCAAAAGATCTAGCAATCTACGACCCAAAACACATTACACCACAAGACTTGCTAGTTTATGGTCAAGTTTTAGAAGCCTTAAGAATAGCAGAGATAGAATGGCTTAAGAAAAGAATAATTGACAAGTGGACAGAAAAGCTAGAAGCAATAAACTACAACCCAAGCTTATTTAAATATAACACAAACATAGAAGAAAGAGAAGCTTATCAAGAGGAAAGTAGAAAAGATAAGGTAAATATGTTAGTTGAAGCTAACAAAGCAAAAAAATCCATCTAAAGCAAGCAGAGCCAAGAAAAAAGAAACAATCTTGAAGAGTTAGAGCAGGGATTAGAAATACTAGAAAAACAAATGAAAGGGCTTAGCATCACTACATCTCAATACTAAACAAATCAAGTCACAAGTAATTTAGAACTTAAAAAAAAAATATCATTAGATAGCAAAGAGACAAATCTAGAAATCGCAGATATAGAAATGGTAGAACAAGAAGAAGAAATGAACAGTGAAGATGATGAAACAATATTTCCCACAGGGACAATTGAACATAGTCGATAGTCCCCAGATAATCGAATATGTAATAAAAATAGATCCTACAAAGCAAATATGCTGACATATGCTTTGTCAGGAGAAACCAAAGAAGAAAGAATAAAGTATGTCTAGTGGATTCTTGGAAAAAACCATCATATTAAAACAGTCAAAGAAGTATTCAAAAATAGAAATAATTAGATAGAAGTAGATTTTGACTGCGAGCATAGCAGAGATGCAGCAATGGACAGAATCAAGAGAAAAGAAGAAGAATAGCTAAAACTTATATCAGAAGAATCTAAAAACAAAACACAAAATACAGAACAGCAAGAGGAGCATAACACTAAAAGAAGAAAAAAAGGAAATACAAGACAAACAGAAGCAAAGAAGAACAAGAAAACAGAAGAGTCAAATATTAAAAAGAGAGAAAGAAAAAAAGAAGATTACAAAGACATAATTCAAGCAAGAGCAGAAGTTAAAAACATAAAAACCTCTAGGACAGAAGAGGATTTAAAGACGGAAAACTACCTAACGATTTGGGACCTGCCGGCAAACATCAATATAGAAGAGGTAGAACATATGTGCAGAAGCATTAAAGATGCCAAAATAGAACAAATCAAGAGGTCCAAATACAAAGCCCTAGCAGTAATATATACAAAAAATTTAAGAGAAGAAAATATTCTATGGGCCTTGCCAATTGGTTCACACAAACTAGCAAGAGTGTCCAAAGGCAACGAAGATTATAGCCTATGAGACCAACATAGTCTATATACATTAAAGTTACTAGAGCTTCTAGAAAATGCATCTAAAGTGCTACTATTATGATGCTTAAGGAAGAAAGGTGCTAAGTCAGTATATATACCAACAAACAGAAATGGAAATCAAAGAAGATCTGCAATAATTACGTTTGCATCAGAGAAAGAGATGAAGGCAGTACAAACTAAGCCAATTAGGTTTAACAATCACTTGCTATTTTGGCAAGATGAAATGAAGAAGAAAATACAAAAAGAAAATGAAGAAGATCATTCTGAGAAGTGCATGAATACACATGACATTGACATAGATTTAAATGCAGAAGTGTATGAAAACAAGAGTAACAGAAGAAAAGAAGACACAGAAGAGTTTAATGAAAAGAAAAAGAACATCACATATACCTAACAGAAAAAGAAGATTCACAAACATGAAGCCAAGACCTTCTGGAAAAAATACTCAAGAGACTAGAG